ATGTCAGGTCTGCAGAGATTAAAAAACGACAAGTAAGTGCATTTGTGTCAGAAATTTGATACAATTTAATTACAAATTTACAGAGCAGCTACGTTCCAAGACCATATGGAAGACCATGGAAGCGGGCAGGATTCCTCTGTCACCATCCAAGTGGAGCCGAATAAATATATCGGCCGGGTACAAGTATTAGGTTTAATTACTTCGGATTATCCTTTGACTTTGGTGTATTCCATTAAGCGGTGGTTCTTTTGGTTGTTTGTATTTTAAATAAGTACTTCTTACTCAATATAAATGTAATTTTAATTATTACCAGTGTACTTTTAAATTATTTAATAGATAATACAGTTATCATTTATTTGCTCTCTGCTTTATACAAGACATATTATTACTTACAATAGTTAATCTGAGATCGTATGTTTCACCATGCCGACTGTCTTCTTAGGCGGTTGAACGTAAAAGAGGAAGAGGTCGGTACAATCTTTCGCAGAGTCAAATTTTGGTCTGTACCAAGGGGTGGTCAGGGTAGGACGCAGAAGCGCTGTTGCCAGTTTGGATCAAATCCGAACATACTCCCCGGCCATTGAATGTCTTATTCAATAATGAGGTAGAAAGATAAGGAAGGAATGAGATCTAATGTTAGTTGAAACGTGAAGATACAGAATACCTATGATATATACACAAGAAAGTAAGCAGGAGCAAAGAATAAGGCAAAACAACAATCAAAATTAAGAATCTTGAGGCAAGGGACATAGCTTTGTGATGGGCCTAATGAAGATCCTTCACTAGTTCGAATCCGTACAGCTCTGACTTTTCCGTCTAAGCCAGGAAATATTTCTAATATTGGCCAAGCCACCTAGGAGTCTCATCCTCATTCAAGAGAACAAGATCACTATTTTAAATTTCTTAATTTGAAACCAATTGGCCGTCCTGTAATCTGTTTAAATATTCCAAATAAAAGCTCTTCTTAAGTGCTTTGAAGCTGAGTACAGCGTTGAAAGAGGTTTAGTCTATTTTCAGTATGGATGATTACTTGTTCAGGTAAGAATGAGTGCAAAGCCTATAAGAAAATGCCCTGAAGTCAGGCATTTTAAATCGGCAGGGTCGCTAGATAGAGGACAAATTGGTCTGGAATTTAATATAGCCTTACAATATAAGCAAAGATAATTGGAAATCTAATATAGTGTATACGAGTACAAAGAGGAGTCAGAGTTAAGCCCAGCATTAAGCCCATTTCTCTTTAATAAAATAATGGACGAAATAATACCAGCAGTACGTAAAGGTCATGGTTTCAAAATGGGGAACATAGAAATACAAATATTATGTTATGCAGACGACGCGCATTAATCGCTGAGACAGAAGACTAGCTCCAAAGATTAACACACATCTTCAATACAACAGCCAAGAAATACAATATGATAATATCAGCAGAAAAAAACAAATCTATGACAACATTTAAATACCCACTACGATGTAAAATCGAAATTGATGGAAAATTAATACAGCAGGAAGCAAGGTTTAGATATCTGGGAATGGATATAACTAGTTGGAGATGTTGAAGAAGAAGTACGATAACAAAGCTTAAAAGCAAGTAAAGCGGCGAGATCTCTTAATGACATAATCTGAAAGAACAAACACCTAAGACAAGACGAAAAAACAAGAATTTATGAATTTATAAAGCAGCAAGTAGACCTATATTAACATACGCGGCGAAGACAAGACCTGACACACCTAAAAGAAGACGACTACTAGAAACAACAGAGATCAAAATACACCGACGAATATCAGGGAGAAGTGTGTTGGGTAGGAAGAGAAGCGAAAATATAAGAAGATCATGCAATATAGAAGACATAAATGGATGGCTAACAAAAAGGAAACAGGAGTGGAACGAACACATTAGTAGAATGGCGATAGGATAGTACAAATAGCACGAATGTCACGAAATAGACGATAAGTATCGGACGACCAAAAACAGATGGTGCGATAATTTAAACAGTTTAGGAGGCTAAATTGAAGAACAAACAGGCTTTAAAGCTTACGTATAAGAAGAAAGAAGCAAATAATATTCTTAAACCTATTTTTTCGTCCATATGCTGCACAATTTGTATAAAATTTTGTGCTTATGCACGACAATGCACGTCTGCACGTTGCAAGAATCGTAAGAAATTTTTTAGAGCAGAACAATATTCAGGTATTGGATATTGGCCTGGCCGGTTCAATTCCCCGACTTGAATCCCATTGATCACGTTTGAGATAATATACTAAAATGACTTGTAGAATAGCAAGGATTAGTGTTCCAGACAATAAAGAACTGCTTAACTGTATGCAAGAGCGATAGCGACAAATTGAGAGGGACGATATTGACAAGAAGTATTCCAGATCTATATTGAGCTAACGTTAATAACATATATGTGGTCATACATTCTACTAACAAGCGCCTACGACTTTAATTTTAAATTTTAGTTGAGAATTTTTGTTTATTTTTTTTTTTCAATTTTTAAGCCCTCTGTATACAATGATAGATAGAAGAAAATTATTAACACAGGATAAATTGCCAAACATAGAAGCACTCGAAATGAATGAAGAGGAATATCAAAGTGAACTAAAAAAGAAACTAAGACCTCTACCAGTATTCAACACGAAAGATATAAATGAAATAACACAAAATTAACGAATGACATAACATCAACTGCAAAAAAGATCTGTGATAAAAATAAAAATCCCAGAAAAACGAAACTGAAACAAACAACACTTAATTTAATGGAATAAAGAAGAAGAAACATCGAAAAAATTACCAGAGTATAAAGCTTATCAACAATAAAGTTAAAAAGAGCATAAGGTCAGGCTTGCGGGCTTATAAAACAAAACAAATATTGCAAACCATCGAAAAACAATAGAAACATGAGAGTATTGAAATCAAATTTAACTAAAGGAAAATCAAAGATAACTAAAATCAAAAATCAACAGGGGAATACGGTGACCGAAAAAACTCAAATAATCAAGGAAATACAAACGTTCTATAAGAATCTTTATACATCTACTATACAGAACCCCGAAACAGACCACAGAACAATTCTAAACGTCGGCTCGGAAACCCTCCCTAAAATAACCTCTTCGGAAATTAGACATGCCTTACAGCAAATGAAAAACAAAAAAGCTCCTGGCGAGGATCGTATAACGTCTGAAATGTTAAAAATGGGCCGGCAACATCGTTGTAGAAGTTGTGGAAGTCTTACTGAATAAGTGTCTAACAGAAAAAAGAATACCCAGCCTATGGGAAAACGCCGAAATAATACTTTTACACAAGAAAGGAGACACTACTAATATTGAAAACTACAGACCTATAAGTTTGTTGTCACACTTATACAAATTGTTAACAAGAATAATAACCAACCGCATAACACAAAAACTTGATTTATATCAACCGTTGAACAGGCGGGATTTAGAAAAGGGTTTGGTGCTAATGATCACTTACAAACCATCAGAACACTAGTAGAAAAAACCACAGAATATAATGTACCTTTACATATGGCATTTATCGACTTTCACAAGGCTTTCGATAGTATTGAGACTTGGTCCTTTTTGTCAGCCCTGAAGGATGCTCGAATAGACTCACGTACACTACACTCATTAAAAACATTTATGAACAGGCCACATTCCACATCAAAATCAATGAAGACGAAAAAACTGAAAAAATGCGCCTTGATAAAGGTATTAGACAAGGTGATACTATTTCACCAAAGCTTTTTACCTTAGCATTGGAAAAATGTATTCAAACAGCTTGACTGGGAGGAAAAAGGTCTAAACATTGATGGTGTACGTTTGAGTCATTTGAGGTTTGCGGATGACATAGTATTATTTAGTACAGATATCAAGGAACTGGAGCAAATGTTGAAGGAATTAAACCAGCAGTCAAATAAAATAGGTCTCAAAATGAACCTTCAGAAAACAAAAATAATGAGTAATTTACAAACTAATCTTGTTATTGACAACGTCAGTCTGAAAATGTAGACCACTATATATATCTTGGACATACCATAAATCGGCAAAGAAAATCAAATAGCCGAAATAAAAAGACGCATACAACTGTCTTGGGGAGCTTTCGGCAAATTAAGCTTTATTTTGAAGAATAAAAGATATACCAATGTGTCTAAAACGTAGAGTTTATGACAAATGTATCTTGCCTGTAACTACATATGGACTGGAGACCATGGCCTTCACAAAGAAAACCTTAGAGCAGCTCAGTACAACCCAAAGAGCAATGGAGAGGGCCATGCTAGGATTAGTTTGAGAGACAGGATTCGAAATAACGTCATTCGTGAAAGAACAAAAATTACTGATGTCTCAGAACGTATTGCAAGGCTCAAGTGGCAATGGGTCGGACACGTTGCCCGAGATAATCCCGAAAAATGGACACAAAGATTAACAAACTGGAGACCAAGAGAGAACAGGCGAGGAGTAGGCAGACCGCAGAAGAGGTGGACAGACGATATCAAACAAGTCGCGGGCAAGCAGTGGATGAGAATTGCCAAAAGTAGAAATCGATGGAAGCAAATGGAAGAGGCCTATGTCCAGCAGTGGACGAACACAGGCTGAAGAAGAAGAAGAAGAAGAAGTATACAATGACCGGTCGTTGTGTGATTTTCAATTTATCGTTAAGTAGCGTTCAGATTTGTTAAATTTTAATATTTTCCAAATAAATTGTAACATTAACATTTTTATTATTTAATTACTTTCCCCTAGGACGATTTTGTAGTGTGTACATAGGTTTTTTAGAACAACCGTCAACAATAATTATTATATTTCACATTACGCACAAACAATAAACATTTTCACAATATTTTTATCACAAGAATAATAAGGCTTTTGCATACTCCAGAAATCAATTAATAACCAATTTCGTGTGGGTTTTGTCAATTTCAGTGTGCAATCCTTCCTGCACACGACACTACAGTACGTTCATAATGATAATTATTATAAAACCCATATAGATAATTATTATCTTACATTCTACTTTAGTTAGCTGTGCCGTACTCTTGTGTATTAATTCAAATTTAAGTAGTTGTTTACGTTTGTATATTTTTATCGGTATGTATTTGAACTGTCAATTATATATTAATTTTGTACTATAATAGAAACAAAAATAAAATTTTACGTAGAACAGTTATTTCTAGAAAATAACATTTAATTTCCATAAAAATTTTCCAACTAAAAGATTTCATGAAATTTTTAACTGTGTGATTCTGTGACAGGCCCTATAATCAATTCATGTGTATTTGTGGTAATTCGTGCTTTGTATATAATATGTGTGTTTATAATTATTGCACTTAGTTGCATAGTTATAGCGTTGATTGAATAACCCAATTTGGGTTATTCATCAACGTATGTTATTAAGGACAGTTAATTTGATTCAAGTTTCTTGCTTTAGTCTCTAGGCTCTTATCTATATATTTTTTTGATCAAACTATCTTAGTTTGTGCTTTTATAATTTTATTAAAATTTTTACTTGGATTTCTAAAGTTAATTATATTTGTTTTCTTAACCGTTGTCTTTAGCTCTTTCGATCCTGAGAATCTGCATCTTGCATGTTTCTTGCTGTCATTGACTCCTCTCTTTCATCTTTAGGCTACTCTTTTTTTCTCTATACAATCGATTATATCGAAGTTTGAATCCATAAGTTCACATCCATAAAATTTATACAATATATATTCTATACATTTTAGCCAATTAATAACTTGTTTTTAAAAATTCCATCTCGGTCGCCCTTATTTGTCTTTTTTTTTTTGTTACTTATTCTCCAGGTCAGTATAATTCTATAATATGGTGTTCTATGCCCAAATTTTGGTTTTGCTTCAAATTATTTTATTCGTAATATTGAGTTTTGTTTCTCGATTTTTAATTTTTTAACCCTTTCAGTCACAACTTTTTTGAGCTATGGGAAACTTCTCATATTTGGTATATAAAATACAACTATTTTTGTTGATAATTTTTAACCATCATTTGTTTTTGTGATATGTTCAGAAGGTCACTTGGCATATGACATGTCCATGTTGATGGGACATTATGGACTTGAAGCAAAAAGTAAATAAACCTTGAAGTATTTTTAGAAATTTATTTGGAATCTCATTAGAATGACGAAAATAACACAATATTCTTTGTAAATAACGAAGATAAATCATTTTACATGAAAATTTTAAAAAACACAAGTGTTAAAAACGCAAAAAACACAGCTTACGACCGTTACAAAACATAAGTCGAAACATAACATTTCACGCAAAATGTATTGATGATTTTCCCTTTACCGTTCCTCCATTTTGCAACGTGTAACCATCTTTTTTTTCATCTATTTTCGGAAAATGGTCCATAGCTGTCGAACCGTAATTCAATTTATTATGGCCTTGCTTCAGTTTTGGTTTTTTATTATTTGGGCTGTACCAGTATTTTCTTGACCAGTAGGACTGGCCTCTCTTTGGTGGAACGTTAGGTAAAATGAGGAGTTGCCCAATACTCATTCTAAAGTCCCACAAATCCAGGATTTTATTGTGTTGTACGCCTGCAGTTCAGCTTGTTTCTATATTCTAACTGGTATTGTATCATTGATCCCCATTTTTCGGTTTATTTGGGAAGTACTGCTTGACATGATCTGTCCCTTGAATTGAACGATTTGTCGTCAATGCACAAATTGTTATGGTTTGAAGTTCCCTACAACGATTTCTAATGAATATATATTTCTCGACTTTCACATGCGATCTGTTTCGTCACCTTTGCTGTATACCTCTACTAAGATGAATGGTATTTGCGCAACTTAGAGAAGCGATTGATGTATATTATCTTTTACAATTGAAATACCTGTAAGCTGGGACCAATACAGTCTTGCTCTTTTGAATTTTAGATTTCCCATAATAATGTGAATGCTAGAAATCGCTTTATTTCTTCTTTATCTGATGGAGAAAACCGAGTAATATTTTTTTGTACGGCATATAAGTTAGTCATTTCTGAAATCTTCCTCAAACAGCGCAATCAGGTATGTATTTCATAAAATATTCAATAGAAGCAGGTAATTCATCAACTTGTACTTCTTCTGGAACAAACCACTGTACTGGCCTGGTAAGATAGGTAATATTTTTTTTCCAACAAACATCTTTCTTATTTGTGAGTTTGAACTCTTTACAAAACTCTAGCAGTCCCTTCCTTTGCAGTTGTTTGTTTTTTCAGTGGTTTGGTTAAAATTTTCTTTGGTTTTCATGTCCTCAGACATTGGTTGTTCTGTAGTCACTTCATTTGGGATATTTCTAGATTTTTCTCTTTCTGTTGACTTACTGTTCTTGGATCAATCTCGTTCAAAAAAGTTTCCTCAATCCTCAGAAGTTCATCCTCAGTCAAGGGTCGTGCACCATCTCTTTTCTTGGGCTAGCGGACGGTAAAGATTCCATTGTTAAAGGATATCGCTAAAACAACACGACCTTGATAATTTTTTAATATACATAAGTATAACCTAAGGTCATTTTGTCCATCTACAATGGACAATAATAGACATATCCACACCCACTTATTATAAGCTATTTTTCAGTCAACAGTTTGATACATAATATAAACACTCACTATACTAATGCTCTTTACTTAACCCAAATGCAGCAGCGCGCTATTTGTACGAATAAAACGAAGTAGTTTATTCAATAGAAAATCGTTCCAATAACAAACAGAGTGTTTTCACCACCACGACAGGCGTGCTAAATGCAAACCTGTTTTGCGTTTTATATAGCTTCACAAATACGACTTAACAGATGGCTTATTTATCACATTGTATTCAATGCTTTTCTTATAGCATTGTAACCCCACACATGGACAAAATGATTTGGGCGGATAATAAACCATCGATGTATTTAAGAAATTGCTTTTGGAAAAACGATTGGTCCCCATCGGTGTGGACCACAGATGACCCGAAAGGGGTTAAATACATCTTCCTCAGGTTTTCTTCTGTTTTATATTATTAATCCCAAATACATAAATTTATATGTTGTTTTTTAATTTATCTTCCTTCGCTTCAACCTCAAGTCTTTCTTACTATTGTCGTTCGCGTTTTGTTGCGGGTGGTATTTGGTTTGGGTCTAAGGGTAGTTTTTCTATTTCTGGTGAAATCTACTTCGATCATAATAGCCTACCCATTAACACAGATATTTATATCTGTGCGATAACTCTCAGTGATCGCCCATCGAAGCTTAAGGTATTACAGGGTACGGATCAGAATATAATCGGCCAAATCTAGAAATTATCTCAGGAACTAAAGATAACCAGAATCATGAAAATTATAATGAATGATATTTGAAAAGTGACCAATTTAATAGAATAGCGTCTTCATCTATTTGCTACTTCCGGTTATACCAGAAGTTGCTTATAACTTAGTTTTTTTTAATTTTATTTAACTTCCCTATATTTATTGTGCAAGCCGTTTTTTAAATTATACTGTGTTTGCATATAAAAATTACCACTTTTCTGGGCATGTATATAAAAGTTTAACATCGTTCGCAGTGAACACCTAGTTTTTTATATGGGGGTCGCAAAAAAAAACACACTTGTAAAAATCTTTAAAATTTGATATTTTTTCTGTCATAAAAAACGTAGTTTCATAATATTTTAGAATTTTTTTAGGTTGTTTTTTATAAAAAAAAAACAAGGTGCGATAAATGCCGCTAGTGTCCATATGTGTCACAAAAGTTGTGCAACTGGACAAAGCGGTACATGCCGCTACTCGATTAGTAAATGCAACTAAATCTTGTATTTCTGTAAAAAAATAATAAAGAAATATCCCTTATAACGCGAAAATATAATACAGAGATACGCTTATATTAAATAAATCTAATTTTGTGGTACAGTTCAAAAGACGGTACAATGCAAAGTGCTGGTTTACACAAGTTCTGGTTGCCTTGCGTTTTTTGTTTCGTAAACAGCCACTTGCACCTCATCAGTGAGTTTGCGGTAGGTCTGTAGGGGTGTGGAATTATATCTGAAAGTGCTGTTCATTGTTAGGGTTGACAACTATATTCGCTTCCCTTCGAAGGTCCGTTTTCCAACCGCGCAAAGCTTCCTTTATGCATGCAGTTTTATCCCGTCATTAATATCTTCTGGAATGTGTCAATAACTCTCTTACCAAATTTTCTCTGTATTCCAAAAGGGTCAGTTTACCATTTTTTGTGCTTCTTCATTGCATAGTAGGAATTCCATATAGCTACATTCAGTAAGTGAAAACATCAGTTTTTTGTACCACCTGATAGTTTTCCGTGGAGAATAATAATAACTCACCATTTGATCGCTCCTATCTATTCCTGACATGTACTCATTGTACCTGGCAACTTCTTCAGGTTTTATTACTGTCTTTCCAAACCTGTTCTGTACATTTATAAGTTTTGGGTGATATTTTGTTGTTATGCAGAGTACTTCCCTTTTATCCTTCCACTTGAATATAGATGCTAATGTCTCTTCGCCATTTGTGTCCTCCTTGCTTTAAGTTGGGTTTACAAGAGCTTATGGATTTCCTTTTCTGATTCGGTCCTAACAGTTCACTGTGGAATTGAGTTTTTCGTTCCAAAAGGGTTATAGATATAGATATTTATATATATATATAATATATATATAATATATAAATATATGTATAACATAGACAACATAGAAGGATATGTTAGTAATATTTCCATATTATATATACTTCGGGAAAAATACTATTTACAACATACACTTCTATGTTGTCTATAATTATATCTATATATCTATATAAATGGCCAAATATATGGCCTAGGAGGACAAATTCGCTAAACTTCTCGTGCACGAATATAGATTCAGAGGATTCCAACAGATATTCCACTGCCTTCCCTCGGTCATACCTGTTTTTTCATTTTTCCCATCACATCCTCTGTTGACCCATTTCTCCATCAGTTGTAGGCCTCTCTTTACTCATGGCGTCGTTCTACTTCGTTCCTACCGGGTTTCTTTGGGGTCATCCACTTTACCTCCTTTCTATGGGGTTCCAGATTCCAACCCCCACAGACTAAACTGCAGGTCTTTGTTTTACATAAATGAGTCCTAACGAGTTCGTATCATTCTAGCCTAACATCATTCAGGGAGCAACGAAGATTTAACTCTACCTGACCAAACAAAATGAGGGTAGTAAATGTAAATAAAGTCCAGAAAGTGGGGTTGGATCGGTCACACACTCCGAAAAAATAACTCCAGTATTGCAAAGACTGGCCCTAGAGTGGAATCCCAAGGAAAACAAAAAAAAGGTCGCCCAGTACAAATTGGAGAAGATCCATCATGGACGAGATAAGAAAAACAAGGAAAGTCTTGGAATGAGTGAAGGCCTTAGCGCAAAATAGAACCCGATGGCGCGTTTTCACTGAAGCTCTATGCTCCACTTAGGAGTTCAAGAAACCGTATGTATGTCTTGTTTCTATTGATGTTCTTTGCTTTATTTTGTCATTAGTTCTCCTATCCATTCCTTGTTACTCTGCAGCTCTTCGCAAGGCATTCCATCTCGCTATCCAATCTTACTGCTATTTTTCTTGTTTTTATCCAATTTTCAGCCCCATATGTCATAGTACTTCGCACTAATGTTTTATAAAATCTGGTGTTTTTTGTCTTCATATTTTAGGAGTCTATCCCAACATACTGAATTAAGTTGTCGGATCCTGTTTTGTTTTTCCTAAATCTTTGCGTAAGTTCTTCCTCTGTTGTTACCTTTTTCGTGACTATAAACCCCATAGTATTTGAATTTGTGCTTTCCTTTTGATTGTTACGTTGTCATCATTCTAGTAAATCTTTCTGTTGTCTTCTTCACTTGTAGGTACTACTCTGTTTCGCGATCTTATTATCTAGGCCAGCCTTGGTATAATTTCTTCTTGTACTTTTCTTCATCATATAGCTGAGGTCTCTTTGTCTCGTTCAATCCCTACTTTGATCGTCTGCAAAGCTTAACGTATTCGTTCCGTACCGTTACACCCATGCCTTCCGAATTTTCTCGTTTCCAATGTAGTCAAAGCTTTCTCTATAAAGTATATTTGAATAGGGTTTAGAGATATGGAACTACCCAACCATACCCTACAAGGAGCCCTTTGTTTGTGGTGTGAAGTTCCTATGATTCTTGTTCCCCACTTTAATAATGGACTCTTTATTTCTTTTTACAGAAGCTATGTAGCTTTTATGAGTTCCATCCAGTAATTCTAATTTGTAACATTTCCTCTTATGAGTTCTAACCTTGGTACAGAGTCGTAATACGCCTTTCTCAGGTCCACAAATGCCAAATGTATATCTCGTTTGTCACTATACTTCGATAATATAAGTTTAGTTTTGTTGTCATTCTAATGTTGCCGATTTTCTAAGTTAGGAATTTAGAATTAGGACTATGCAAAAATAAAAAAATATAATAACTTAAGCAATATAATCAAAAATCAGAAAAAAAACTAATTGAAAATTATTATTTTTAGAAAATGGATTGTTGCAAGAAAGGCGAATCCCGCACGATTGTTAAACAATGCAAATTCACAAAGAAAGATGGCACCGTAGTGGACTGTGAATGTACCTGTACCTGCAAATGTGAAAATGACTGTAAAGGCCAGAACTGTCCTGGAAAAAATGGTTGCAACTGTGACTGCTCTGAAGAAACAGCCAAGTTAGGGCCTGATGGAAAATATAGATGCACTTGCGAATGTAAATGTTAGTTATGTAACGCTGTTATTATATCCCATATATTTAATTTGTAATTGTGTCGTACCTTAATTAATAAAAATAAAACTGTATTTTATACATTAATACGTATGTATTAAACTAGAATATTAAATTAATTTTTTTGAGTTTTTATATTTCCTTTGTTTCTTATATTTTACCGACTTATCTCATTAAGACAAAATTAATTAAATTAATAAAATCTATTAACACTCAGATCGACGACGTCTAAATAATAAAGCGACGATAAGAGCCGCCACAACACGAGTGGGTTCTATAGGGACAACAAATAAGGGCAAATCTTTCTTTTTGAAATTAGAATTTTTAAAACAATACTTTTCAATATTTACTTATAGGGTAATTTATTCAATCTGATGAAAATATATTTGGTTCTCTAGATGCCTACCCTTGTATTAAAATTAAAGTAGATCAACTATATATAAAGTCAGATAATATAACTTCGTACAAATCCCTTGGAGCATGGAGCGACAGAAGATACCTGATCAGGACAAAAGGAAATAAGATGCCGCATTGAAATTGCGCGGTTCGAACTTTAATAGAATGAGAAACTTTTTTTGTTAATCGCTGATATGACCAATATATCGACGCCCGGATAAGAGATGCTTCGATGGTTATATATTTTCTCTACCCTTTGTCATGGAGTTGAAGCTTGGACACCTTAAAAATCCAACAATAACAAACCTAGACAGCAATCGAATAATGTGGTGTTTACCGAGCGCATATTTGAAAATAATCATTGGATGGATCGCACAACAAACGAATCAAGTTCTTGAACAACATAGGAAAACATGCGAAGTTTTAAATTCCATAAAGATCAGGAAATTGAATACTTGGGGCACATCATGAGAGGTGAAAAGTACGAATTACTAAGGGAATATAATGCAGTGGTAAAATCAAAGGTAAAATCGTCCGTGGTCTACGCAATCTCCGTGAGTGGTTTGGATGCAGTTCAATTGAACTATTCAGGCGAGTAAATAACAAAAATTATAATTGCCAGAATGATTTCCAATCTCGATAGGGTGGACAACTTGAAGAAGAAGAATCATAGAACTAAGTAATATCTTTGAGATAATAAATTGTTTGACGAGCTTACCGACAAACTTATCAAAAAAACAGAACTGTTTCTTCTATTTTACTCAAAACTTGGATGAAAGCATAATGAAACTATATTACAAAAACACAAGAGAGTTCATCAAAATTCTATGGCCATAGAAAATACAGGAACAAATATTCACGCAAGACAGTTCGTTTACCGTTTTTTTACTACACTCCTCATCTCCACAACCAGCAGGCTAACGATATGATCCATGGCATAACCGACATTTGCAAAAATATCGGGTATTTTCCTTTTCTTTGCAGTAATTGCCATGCTCTCTTTTACCTGAGGTGGATGGTTAGGTTGATTTTGTGGGTCGGCATTCCAGAGTTATTTCATAACAGCATGTCGAATGTTAGAATATTATCCTGACGTTGTATCCGCTGATTCCATTTTTACTAGGGTCTTCTTCTAATTTTTTAATAAAATTTTTTTTCTTCGTCTGTTTCGTATATTTTCGTATTGGGATTAATTAAATATGCGAATTAGAAAAAGCGTTTAATACTGGCTAAATTTGGAAACTAAAGATACTAATTAGAACAATTTGCGTTATTAAATTACAAATAATAAAATTACAACAATTACAAAAGATACATATAACTTAAATTTTGTGTAGTAAACGTATGTCCTTAAGAATTTGATTGTATGTGATTTTACGTTTTAAAATATCTTTAATTTCTTTGCTTCTTCCTGGTCGTGCTGATGGCTCTTTCGTAGGAATAAAGAGACATTCAGATTCAATACATGTTAAACAGTTATGGTACATTCACAATAGGAACATTTCAGGTGGTAGTTCTTTTGTTATAAGATGCTGGTGAGTTAACGCTGTATGTCCAATTCTTAGTCGTTTATAATCACTTGTTGTTCTGTTTTCTGAGAAATTGTAGTTTAGTGCAATCCTAGTTTTCATGTTTTTAAGGTTAGCCTTATTAGAATTCCACATTGTTGCCAATTTTTTTACACAGTGCTGTTTAATATGAACTGGATACACTGAATGAATTGTGGTCGTAATTTCAGTTTGCTCGTCATACAGCTTTCTTTGCTAATATCATCTACTTTGTATGTCATTTCCCGCGATCTACTGCTGTATGTGATGGGTAACCCAGAAAAATGTAACGTTCACACCCCGTTCTGATTGTAGGTAGTGATTAAAGTGCTAATTGTAGTTGATGCAGGATAGCATGGCTAGACTACAGGTATATATTTGCCTTAAGCTCTGAATGAAACTCAGATTAAAGAGTCAGTAGATGATAACGAATAATCTTGAGTCTTGCAGACCGTACATAGCACATGTCTAAAACCTTTAAAAATGGCGACTCGCTTTCACGCCGTGAAAAATACGCTGCAGCAAATGAAGGGATGCGAACTGCATAATATCAGACTTTCCTAGCATAAAGGCCTGCTGCTGTTCTTATATCAGTTTTAGACGCATCAGTAAAAAATCTTGTTATGGCCAGTGTATTCTAATATCCGTTCTTGTATATATTTGTTAATGATTATATGGGATTTTGTGTACTCTTTGGATAGGCCGTAAGGGATAGATCAATAGTGGGAAAATTAATAGTCCAGGGAGGTATAGTTCGTTGTGTAGGGCAAGAATGTGTCAGCTGCTCCATGTCAAAACCATATCTCGTTAGACGTTCTTTAAGGGGTGGATATTTAATTTGTTGATGGCAATAAGTAGGTGTGTAATAGGAAATTGTTTTGCATAAAGTAATACTTTAAGGCTAGATCATCCTAGACGCAAAATACGTATTCCGTTTAGAAGGAAACAAATAAGACCTCCAAAATGCTGCACGAAATTCATGATAAACAAAAATAATTTATTGCATTTTCATTTTTTCGAATCTAAAAACTAGTCCAGTCATCATAGAGTTGACCCATAAAAATTATACGAACAAGCTAAATTTTGCTGAGCATATTAATTTTGGTGACCCCAAAAAAGATGCAAAAAAGTTTACTTTGCACTTTTACCACCTGGCTTCCCCCTAAAACGCCCCATGCATGGGGTAATAAAAATGCTTGTACATCGTAAGAAAAAAAATGTTTCAAATAAAAAACGTAGCTGAGATAATTTTAAACAAAAAGTTTATAAGCATTTTTGTCTAGAATGAACCGTTCTCTTAGAAACAACGCTTGAAGCGACCACATCGCATTTTGGGATGATCAGTGACGCACGCGGAACACAATGTTTCAATAAAAATTTGTATCAGCTTGACGGTAAAAACTTCGATATCTTTTGATTCAAGTGACCCATGGACAAAAAGCAAAATGCATTTTAAAGGTAAAGGTTTCAACTTTCGTATGCAGTTTTTTGTATTTTGCCGAAAATAAACTCAGATTTTATACTGGTGTTAAATAAATAAGCGCGATTTTTGCTATTTTTAATGATGCTTGTGGTATCAATAAAATTAATCACTTTGATTAACCAGTTGTAGTAAAATTTTAATATTTAGAGATCAATATTTAAAACCTATGACATGAAATTTTAATTTTGAGTTGTGTTAACAAATAGGAGGCATTTAAAACGCAGAATTTACTGCTTTACAATACAAACATAACATGTCACGGAAAATGAAACTAAAGAGAGCGTCCCAAACGGCGTAGTGGCAAGAACAAGTAGCACGCGCAAACATTTGTTAAAATTAACCAATGAAACGAAGACTCACGCACACCAAAACAGTGACGTCATTCTTCCAATCATTCGTTTCTTGTTACATTTTAAGTAACATGCAAACGCGTGCTATTGCTACTTGCCACGGCCAGTTGGTGGCGCCTCCCTAAGAAGAAAGTTTTGGGTGTTGTTTATTGCAGAAATTTTGTTCTTTTGAAAAACGTACTAGTGTAATTGAAAAAAAGTTTTTAATGTTTTAGATCGTTTGTTGTGCGACAAGATAAGATCATGCGTTTTTTTTAAGGCTATTATCAATGCACACACACTTGTTGCCCAAAAACTGAAAACTAAAATTTCATGCTATAAGGTTTCTTAACGGATGGGCTCTAGCAATCTAAAAACTTCATAGTAGGAACAACTAGTCAATGAAAGGGATATATTGTATTGATCTCATGAGAATCATAAAAAAGGTGCAAAAATCTCGCCACGTTGATCTTAATTTACACACTTGTATAAAATCTGAATTTATGCGACAAAATGCAAAATCTGAACTCTTACCATAAAACGGTCTTAATTTTTGTCGATAGGTCAATTGAATCAAAAGATATCGATTTTTTACCGTCGAATCTGAACAATTTATGACATGATTTCCGGCGATCTGTCACAAAATCGAGCCTCTCAAGCGTTGTCTTGAGAAACGGTTATTTTACACAAAAAATTCTTACCACTTGGAATAAAATTGTTTCTGACCTTATTATAAAAAATAATCAAAAACTCTGGGACACGTTAACTTTTAAATTTAAATGTGCGCTTTTTAAACATAAGTTTAAATGTACAGGGTGATCCACGCAAGTCTGGCATAGTCCATAATCCTTATTTTTAATGAAACACCCTGTATATTTTTATGTTTTTAAAATACTTTTAACAACCTGATTTCAATGAACTATATCATGTAGGGTCTATAATGAATAATACAAGGTGAAATTTTGAAATTAATAATTTATCACGTGTTATGGTATTATTTTAAATTAGCTAAATACAGACAATAGACTTCTACTCTAAGTGTCAGTACACTGTATATTGGGGAAAATTTCTGTTTAGTAACCGTGTTAACATTTTTTGTCGTGAATAGGTAAAAACTGTATAGATAGTCTGCTAATTAAACTAAATCGGTAAATAATGCGGATTGTTATCAATCAGTTGACATGCTGTTGACATTTTACATTAAAATAATAAATTCTTAATTAAAAACTAATTTCTTGCAGAAATAAAAATGAAATATTTAACTAAGGCCCACCGAATTGAGATTTTAATGATGATCGGTTACGGGGAGAATTGTAGAAGTCAAGTTGAAGTAGTAAACTTATTTAATCAGAGGTATCCTCAGTTGCCTAATAT